AGATGAAATTTCAGTCCTCTCGGACCCCACGGTGCAACAGCCAATAAAAAGGCCATATCCTGTGATCAGCAGTAACAAGAATCAGAGGTGGGAAGTAACAAAGTACAAATACTTTTTTACTTTGAGCCCCTACATTTTACACAAATATCTATATTTTCTACTTCATACATTTTTAAAACAGGCTTATTACTTTACACCTTAACGTCAAGAGACCGGTGCATATCAATTCAATTCAACAGAAGTTATCTCAGGACACTTTTCAAATAGAGCAGGTCTAGACCGAACTCCTTACTGTTACACAACAGTTTTCAGAGAAACCAAGAGTATGTTTTGCTTTACTTTGAATACATTTCCAAAAATAATTTTAAAGTTGATTTAGTGCTTTTACTTTTATCAGTCTTTTTTTTTTTTTTACCTATTATCTGTATTTTCTACTTAAATAAAGAATGTGTGTCCGGGGCAGCTGTGAGGTAGAGCAAGTAATCCACTAATCAGAAGGTTGGCAGTTCGATCCCTGGCTCCTCCGTGTCCTGGAGGAAGATACTGAACCCCAAATGGCTCCCGATGCTGTGCGTTGGTTTATGAATGTGACTAAGTGAGTTAGTTCCTGTTTGATGTAGCGTAAAAGAGTGGTCGGAAGACTACAAAGTGCTATACAAGTACAACCACCTCTGATAAGTTGTTTATTTAGAGAAAAAGGCGCAGTGTTTCTCCCACCTTGTGCCACTGAGGCATTAAGAATAACTATATAGAAAAGCCAATCTTTTTGTTGATGTTTGTTTATGTAGATCATATAGAAGCATCGGTATTAAATAGTTTCATAACCAGTTAAAAAGCCCTTGTAGTAGGTTCAAATAAAACACTCACTCACCATTTCTTCCATTTTTATTTGGCATCCAACAAAATCCATTAAAAGCTTTAAGAATTAACATTTTGCACCATCACCAAAAACATAATTTCTCCCACTAAAAATGTAAAACTAGGTCAAGATTCATAAAATGCAAGCATTAGGGTTGGGGAGTGAATACATATGAGGCAAGCAACAGCTTCTGACAGGCAAGTCAAAAAAGGCAGAAATCTACTCCTACAGTTCTATCTAAAGAAGGACTGAAGATAGTTACAAAGCACAACACAGACTGAAGACCGAAGAAAAACAATCAGACGGAGGCTCTCCCTCGTCTAAGTGACGTCACCTTGTACGTGTCTTATCCAAGCTCACAAATGAGCCCTCCAAAACTATTTCACATGACAGGACGTTTTCATTTTATCCACAAAAGCACAAAGAACCTTCCTGAGAAAACAACTCCAGTTTTATTGTGGGAAACACTTCAGAGACGTGTCAAAGTCTTTACTGTTCACCAATCAAAGTACAGTTGGATTATTGTTTTCCACTCCAATTTCTTTTCATTTAAGGTTTCAGGTGGGTGTCCGAGTAGCCTTGAGAATCCTGCTGAACTTTTCATTCTCATCATTCCCGCCCAACCGTGTAACCCACTGGCCAATCAGAATCAAAACACCCGTTGAGGAAAAGATTAGGAAAAACAAGGGTGGCCAAGTACATGCCCCATACATCTGAGCCGCAGCTCTGGTGAAGTCCCACCCACAGCCTATCAGCTGTGTGCTTCAGAGGGAAACGGCTCACTTCCTGCTTCATCCTGTCCTCAGCTGGAGTTTGATTGGCTCAACAGGATGAAGTGATGTTTATGGGTACAACTTGATAGTGAGCTATGCAGGTGAGGGGGGAAGGTATTTCCAAGTGGAGGGTGAGGAGGCCTTTGCCCTCCTTCCCCCCTCCCCCATTCGGCGCTGCTTTGCCTAGTCAAACCCCAGAAAGGAAGGCGGGGCTGCAGGCCCACTAAGCGTTGTGTTAGCCCGATCGCCGATGGTTGGGGGAGTGTGGTTGCAGCGGTGCTACGAGGTCGCTGCCCCAGTTTGGGTGCCCAGGAGTTTGGGAGGGCGGACTAAGCATCCGCTTCCCATTTCCTCCCCCCAGTGTGGTCTGGTACTGCTGTTTCCGACACCCCAGACCCGCTGGACTCTGGTGGATCTCCAAGCCTTCGCTGGACCAAAGACGTGAAGCAGTGTAGCGTTCACACCCAGGCCGTCCAGCCCTCATACAGCTGGGCCAGGTTGTCCATGTTGGTGGCCTCCTTGATGACATAGTCCACCTGCAACACAACAGTCCGACACTTACATTTTTAGAGATGGAACAATGATCTGAGTGCACTGCTTAGTACTAGTATTTGACAGAGTAAAGAATAAAAACAAATATATGTACAGCCGGTAAATGCAAGAATAAAATGTGTGTGTAAGACAGTTGGCGTGGACACTGCTACTCAATTTATTCTAGTTTAGACTTATGGGGTGGTTAGATCAGGCTTCAATCTGCCATGAGAGCCAGTGTGTCCTGTGTTACCTGCTCAGTGACACTCATCCTCCTGTTGGGATCGATGTCTCTGCCCTCCAGCTTGGCTTTAACTCTCTTCCACACACTGACCGCGTACGAGTTCCTCTCCTGGACGGCTTTAACACAGCAAGCAGCAGGTTCAGAGCAGTGCAGTGCCATTTCAAACAGATCCCACCCCTGATGTGATGCTTAACGTCACGATTAGGTAGATTTTTAGGTAGATTATGTACATGTAAGGTACAGTATATGGTATCAAGGTATGGCTTTGTAGTGTCTGGTAGCTGAGGTGTATTGTATTTATTTAGCACGAGAGGTGTGTAATAGGATTCCCAACCACAGACCAGTGAAGAGAGTGAAGAACAGTTACCTCGTCCAGTTTTAGGGTCCCGTACAGCCCTCTTGGGGCTGGGGTTGAGGCCTTTGCTGTTCATTAGCAGAGTGCTGGGTGGGGTGTCAGTGGGAGTTCCCAGGTTACGCGGCAGAGCCTTGCGTGCATTCTGGGACATTGAGTCTGGCTGGGTCTTCACCCCACTGCATCTAACAGCTGAAGTCAAACACATGTACTTATGATCAGTATTAGACACATGAAACATAAATAGTACATAAACATTTCATCTGGGCCCTGTAGACTTGAGCTGTGGACAAAGTTTGGTAGAGAACGGCTGCTGTCATCAGCTTTAATTCAGTGAGTAGTTAGTATTAAGTTCCTCTTGTTCCAGGAATTGTGGAGCCACAACAACTAACCTAGGAATTAAATTACAAATTGAGAATCCCAGTTCTTGTTTGTGTTTCCACCACGTTTAAAAAAATCATGTAAAGGAGATGTTTTGAGGTTGAAAAGGACACCAGAGTGCCTGTCTCCACAGCAGATTTCTCACCACGAAAGTCAAATTGTGTGCCCTAGCCACAAACGCATCAGCTGTTGCCGATGTCATT